TCTTTCCCTTTTCGTACGTCTCAGGAGAACCCCAGCAGGCCTAGAAGCCCCAGTGCCCAGAGAGTGTGATCAGCCCAGCAGGTAGAACTATGGTGAGAGATTCACAAAACCCCTCTTTCCTACAGAGAAGGGAGGATTACCAAGCACCACTGGCTGCCATCTTCCTCAGAACCTTATTCGAGTCTGCAGGGAGCAACTCTAAATTCCCTAAACAGACAAACCCCTTTATTTCGATCCAGCGAATGGGAGTGGTTTCTGGGCACCTTGGCCGTGCCCAACAGTAAGGGAGCTGCCCTCCTCTTCTCTAGGCCCCAGGTGTGGGGCCTCTGCTGGAGAGCTCGAGGCACTTGCCCATCCGCAGAATGACACAGGGTTCTCACCGAGCAGTAAGGGGTGAAGGGGCCCCCTCCTGCTAGTCTGAGCCCAGCTTGACGTAACTTCTTACAAGCCACTTCCAGGTTTCTTTAAATTAAATCATTTAAATAATTAAATAGTTGTTTAAATTAAATAATTTAAATAATTGTTTAAATTTTAAAAATTAAAAGAATTTTTAATTTGAATTTTAACAAGTAAATTCGTTTTCCAAGACCTCTGTACTTTCTGGTAACTCGTTCTACTTCGGTTTGTCTGCGTGGAGTAACATGGATCCTGAGGTGGACGCTGCCTCCCACCCTGTGGCACTGACCCTGACCCTGACCCCCTCACTGGTGGAGTAGTCAGGACCCGAGGTCCCTGAGCTCTGCTCCAGAGATGGCTGGCAGCACTTTTACTAAACTGGGAGCAAACTCGGACCTTCTGGCTTCTGTCTCCTGTCTTTAGTTTGTTAGTTGTTGCCCGAGAATAGGCCATTTTAAATAGGAACTTTGAAACCTTGGGAAAGGTTCCATCTAAAGCCCAGAGGGAGGTTGAGAATGGAATGAGCTGGTGTGCCACTCTGGGTTACCACTAGGTGGCGGCCCATCAGATCGCCTCTCAGCTCTCTAACCAGCCTGTGGATGGGGACAATTTTTAACTAGGGGCAGTATGCCCAACATTTGTCACTTCCCTTTGGGACCTTAACTCTTTTTCAATGTGATCATTTGTGTTTTTCACTAATTTTAACTGGAAGCTTTGAGCCCTGTATTTTGGTGCATGGAGCCACTTGATCTGTTCCTTACTTGCTGCTTAGTGCTGCGTGAGGGGGGCACTGCTCTTGGCTGAAGAGGCAAAACAGAGAGGCAGCCTGCAGAAGCTGTTTGAGGCTAGCTGTACCCTGAAAGTCTCCAGAGTCGATGAAATAATCCTCCGAAAAATGTCAAACAAGGGCTTAGATGGCAAGCTCAAAATGTGCTAGTGTCCCCATACCCATTTACGGGTACACTTCTGCAGCCTCAGACACGAATACACGTGCACACAGGTAGGAATTGTGACCTGCCTGGGGCTGGGTGACTCCCGGAGGGGTAAGGCCCCCAGCCAGATACCCAGTGAATCACCCTTTCTTCCTGGCCCAGCCTGGCTGGAAGACTCCATGGCCTTGCAGGCTAGACAGAAACTACAGTGGGCCTAGTGTCTGAAGTCCCACTGCAAGTAGATGTGGCCTTGATCTCAGCGTACCCAGTGAAACCAGAGAGATGTGTTAAGCAGGAGGAGCCGAGTGGAGGCATGAGTCAACAGGGCTGGAGACTTGGGAAGGGCAGTGTCCCCAAGATTTTTATTAGTTTATCCAGCTCAGTAAGTGATTTCTCAACAGCCCTGGAGGAGGGGCTAGGTCATACTTTATGAAGGAGCTAAATTGGTTTAGGTAACGGTATAAACAAAAAGTATTTGGTTTTATGCTAAAAACTAAGTGTAGGCTCCCCCTACCGAAAGAATATATTGTGATGCCTTTGAGCAGAGGGCTAGGATTACCAGCCTGTGTGTCTCTCTCCTTTTAAATTTTGTACCTAATAGAGAAGCTTCTTACTCAGGGCTCCCTTGGTCTGCATTCCTTGACTCTAACATTTGTGATCTAGTAGTAAGTCCCAAGACCAGAACACCCATTCATTACTTTGAGGCATAAGGCAGGCCCCAGGAAAGCTAACCTGGCTGATGCTAGGCTGCAAGCCACGCATGCTAAACCACACATCCAGGGAGGGTGCAGCAAAGCCTGGCAGATGCACCTGAGTTAGAATCTTCCTGTGACTCAGTTCTGTTGTCTCTAAGTTGGGGCTGGTAATAGTGCCTTCCCCAGAGGGTGTGAGAGTTAACGAGTTAATGCATCTGAAGTGCTCGGAGTGGTGTCTTGTGCATGGTAAACATTCCCACAAGTTGTTAAAGTTTCTCCTGGTACAATGAGAGACTAGGACCATCTGAGGTCTCACAGTGCTATCCTGCAGGCCACACCCCACCTGTGAGATTTTTGTTTCACTAATGATATTTTTTTTAAAGGTGAATTAAAATGCCTTGAGACAGGGCTGGGAAGTTTTCCACAGTCTCCATCACTCCCTGTTAATTACATATGGTTCTTTGTTCAGATACACTAGTTCCCTGGGTGGCCCCCGCAGGCATGTGTTTTTTGTCCTCTGGAGATGCCCTCTAAGGCCCTTTCCGGGTCTGCATTTCTGCCCAACTCTATCAGAAAGGGTCCTTGTGCTGTGAGCACCCCTAGTGATGAGGGAGGGACCCTTATTTTCCTTCTGCAGCCCTTCTCTTTGTCCTTTGGCAGAATACCGGGGCTCTGGCTTTTTTTCCATTTTATTTTTTAATTTTTCAATTAGATTTGACATTTAATATTATTTTATATTAGATTCAGGTGTATAGCATAGTGATTAGACATTTATATAATTTACAGAGTGATCCCTCTGGTTAGTCTAGTACCCACTGGGTCCTATACATAGTTGTAATATTATTGACTACGGCTCTGGCTTTTCTTATGTTACCCAAAGCACTGCACCCCGTCCCACACCCTGAACAATTTCCTTCTTTCCAGCCTCCTCCCCAGAGTCACTCCATGGCCAGAGTCACACCATCCAGACATCGGAGCTTTCTGTGGTCTCGTCTGCCTCTAAACCTCCTTCTCTGCCTGGCTACCAGCTGTGCCAAAAGAATGGCATGCTTAATTAATAAAGAAAAAGAAATTTTTTTAAATGAGAAAATTTTCTAGTTTTAATTAACCCAGTATCAAAAAACCAGTGGGATGTGGTTTTGTAGGTAGATTAATTTAGCCAGTAGGACCCGGGAAGTTCTGTAAACCATCCTTTAGGGCTGTGGAAGAGTTAATGCGTCATCCTCCAGTAATTAGTCACACCCAGGGGGATGCGAGCCACTATAAGCCGGAAAAGGTTAACATTTTAACCATAAGCATCTCGGACTGGACGTGTCTACACAGAGATCTATATAGAAGTGTTTTTAGACACTTAAAAGATGGAACTTATAATTGATTGCTTAGTGTTTAAATTGGGAACAGATTGTGTTTTGCTGGATGTGCAAAATAAGCTTGGTCCCTGGTGACTTGATTATTTCACCACAAATGAGCTTTTTTTCAATGGCTCAGTGCCTGAGTCCGGCAGAGGGAAGGAAGGACCGACGAGGTTGCTATGGCAGTAATGAAGTTTTTCTTGGGGACTTAAGATTGGGATTCTGCTGGCTCATAGTAGTAAGGGAAGACTACGTGGTTAGAGAAGCATTATACAACAATGCACTCTGATTGTTTTAGGATTCATTTTTACACCTATGTTAGAATAGAGTAGACAAAAACGAATTTAAATATATTAGGTGAGATTTCTTTTAGTGTTATACAAATAAGGTGAGCACAGCCTTGGGCCTTCATACAGGTTTTGCTTTGCCTGGAACACCCCCTGCCCCACCTGCCTGTGACCTGACCAACTTCCACTCATCTTCAGTTTTGAGGTCTCCCAGAACTCTCAACACTGAGATCTTCCCTGATCTCCCAGTTCTGCTGTTTGCTCCCTTCCTATCTTGAAACTGACCCCCACTTCACTGGAATTGCTGACTTAGAGTCTGCATCCGGCTTACATAATCTCCAGGTCTCCAGTGACTGGCATAAGGTGGGCACCTTCCACTTGGGTGAGTGGATGGACAGATGGGCTGGGGAACAGAAAGCTTCAATATGTGATTTTTAGAGTCCATGCTGAGACGATTGGTTTCTTACCTTTCTGGGCCTTATTCATTACAGTCAAATGATTCCTGGAATGTTTACTTATCTCATTAAGAGTTTGTTTTTGTTAAGCCCAAACCCTCAAAAATTTCCTGTTAAGCACTCAAGTAGTACTTAGACTGGCAAACATTGATCCTCTTCATTGTTTGAGGTAATTGGGCATGAGATTCAAGAGGCCAAAATAAAAAAGGTTTTCTCTGGAAAAATAGCAAATAAAGTAAAAGGGATAACCTAACATTTAATCAGCCAGCAGTCTCTCTTCTCTCCAGCTTCATTTCCCTGCTTTCTGGCACAGTGATAATCTGGAGTTTATGATGTGGCTCTGGCATGCTGTCGGACGTGTCTTCTAAGTCACTCCAGCAAGGTTACTGTACTCAACATTGCGACTTGTATTTGGAGAGTGTCCTCATGCATTCAGAAGCTGTGAAAACTAGGGCTGCTGTATATAAAGGGACCCCTCTCTAAGCCATCTTGTTGGATTCTCGGGGCTTCCTGGCTCCCTGGGCCCACAGAGGAGAGTATCTCCTGAGCTCCCAGATGAGAGAGTTGATTATCACTGGCTGAAGTTCACTTTACCATTCCTCTCTCGTTTCTCTTCAGATAAAGATGGCTGCTTTTAGAAGTCAAGGGGGACTGCCAATTACACACATGACAGATCCAGGGCATGGTGCCAGCCTGGCTCATCGTGTGTGTCTGGAGGCTGGAAAAGTGGCAGATGCTAGCCTTTCCTCATTTCAGTGACTTTCCTTCTAGCGCTGGCTTTTCCGGCCTTCCACAGGGCACCTGGAAAAAAGCATTTCACCTTTGCTCTTTGCATTTGAAAAGACTCACCGGCTTTGCTATTGCCCTTCCATGTAGTTCAGCCAATGCCACCCCTGAATTTGAAGGTCGAGGCGGTGATGACCTTGGCACAGAGATTGCCAACACCCTGTACCGGATATTCAACAACAAGAGCAGTGTGGACCTGAAGTCGCTCTGTATCAGTCCCCGGGAGCACTGCTGGATCCTCTATGTGGACGTGCTGGTGAGTGTCATGTTGCCGTACCGGCCACGCTCTGTGTCTGCCGGGGACCACTTGGCCTACTTTCCTCTCAGTGCTTTTTTTCTCTTCAAGTAGATACTTTCGACTTCCAGGGTGAGATTACTTGGGGAAAAAATCAGTCTCTTGTAATAATAGTTTTTTAAAAAATTAAATACAGCATATGTGTAGTAGCGTATATATAATAACATTCTACAGTAAAGTGACAAACGTATCACGGTAGCACCTAAAATTATCCACAGAGGTTGTCAGGGAAGAAAACCAAGAGATGCTCTCTAGATGGTGCCAGACAGGGTTGTGCGCAGAATTTAGACAAGCGGCCATATTCTTCTGTATGGAACGGCGATGAACTCTTTACATGAATTTTCATTTAACCCTTACAGATAGATGTTTTGCAAGTGAATACTGTGATTTCCCCCACGAATAAGTGAGAGAACTAATACACAGAGAGGTGAAGTGAGTAGCCCAGGAGCTCTCAGTTTGAGAGTAGCGGTATTGGGCCTCACAGCCAGGTATTGGGCCAAAAAGTGTCAGTGTCTGTCCTTGACCTCCCTGAAAAGCACCCTGTAGCCCGCCTACTTTGAGTCCCTCGTTTCCCAGGTCAGGACCCTGAGGCCCTGCCTCCTCCCCCTGCCCCTGCGGGAGCCTCCCTAGCCTGGCCCTTTCCTTCCTGCTGTCTCCCCGCCCAGATGCTCCTCTGCCTGGTTTTTGGCACTTGGCGGTAACTTCTCTTACAGCTTTCATTAGTTTTGCCAGTTGCTTATTCACATACAGGCTCTTGTTTGTTCTCTTTTATTCCTTTTCATTAAATTTTGTGAACCTTGAAGTCAGTGACTACGTCTTCCACCCAGAGTGAGGACACAGGCTAAGCCATTGACCAGACAGATTCTTTTCTGACTCTAAGGATAGAGCGGATCCTGTGGACCGATAGTGGGCTTCACGAGGAGCAGCCTGGCTGTCTCTAAACGTTGGCCCTGCATGAAACAGTGTAGCCTTTCTGGATACTGTCGAATTAATTAGACAGTGGATGGAACATAGCTAAAGGATAACAGTGGTTACTGTTGTCCAGCAGGTGAGGGCTGTTTTGAATGCTGACACTAATAGGCGAGAACAATGAAATCACAAGCCCAATTGCTTTCTCTAATCTCCAGTGAGCAGGATGTACCTCGAAGTGCGATTCCTACCAAGCAGGTAATTTGCAGGCCCTGGTTTTGAGGAGGCGGGAACCGGCGGCCTGCAGTCCTTACCAGTGAGAGAGAGGCAGACGTCATAGCTGCCGGGGAGGTGCCGCCCCTCACTGTGACCCCTGAAGGCCCACGCTGTGTCTGAAGGACGCTATAGCCACCCCTTTCCCCCTAAACAGCTAGAGATGTGACTGTCGTGGTGCGTGGCGTTTGTCCTCTGGTGACCCCGCTTTGTGGCTCCTCAGTGTCTGTGCACTCGTGTGGTTGTGTAGGAGGCCGGCCTGGTACTGGGGCCTGACGCACTTTTCATTCAGTCAGGAGGCCTGTTCTCTCAGCGAAGGCTTTTGGGGAACTGGCGGGTGTAAGGACATCTCAGCTTAGAACCAGCACCCTTCTGCCGTGAGCAGGGGATATGTGGTAAGCAAGGTGTCTCCGGGGGTGCACGGTGTCACTGTCCCCTGCCGACCTTTTTAAGACTCCTCAGATTCGGATTTCTTCTCTAACATATTTTTTAAGGTTTTATTTATTTTGGAAGACGACATGAGCTTTTGAAATGTCATCAGGAAAGTTTTTAATAAATTTAGAAAAGCATTTTTAAAAATTATATTATTAATGCGATAGGTCAGTTTGTGTCACTCACATAATTTATATCTGTAGAGGGGTTTCTCTTCCATGAAAGCAAATGTCGGCTTTCGGCCTTGATGGGAACGTGCTTTGTGCATGTGAAATGGGGGATAGGCTTTTGTTTAGGTAGTAGGTTTTTATTCCACATCTAAAAATGTACTAAATATAAAAAAGAAAATAATATATATATGTAGATATATGTATGTATATGTATATGTATGTATATGTACATGTATGTTTGTGTGTGTGTGTGTGTGTATACATTGTACATTGAGTCCATGTTTGAAGCAAGATGATGCCAATCCAGTCTTGTCACTGGGATTGCAAAAATGAAGTTCCTATGATTTATTTTACCAGTTTGTCAGGATAAGTGTCAGGCAGAGCCCATCTTTCTAACAAAACAAACACTCACTGGGCACACCATGTTTTCACATTTTTACTACAGGCACATTTACTTGAAATCTATCACAGTCAGATTATCCTCCTATTTCCAGTATTGTTTTTTTCCCCAGTTGGGTAAATTTTTGAGAGTAGAAATTTAACTTCGCAGAGACTTTACTCTTCATACTTTTTTAATGGCAAGTGGGATATCTGTTAGGACTTTGTCACCCTGACATTGTACCGGCCACCTTTGGTGGGGAGAGCGTTCACAGTGCGGCCTTGTGATGACCCCGGGAGTGGTGACGAGGACTAGCACACGGTCCGTGGCGTTGGGCGTGGAAAGGAAAGAGCAGTCATCTGAGCCTCTGGCTGCGGGCTGCGTGTGGTGCCAGAGGCGCTGAGCCTGGTGTCTGAGAATAGTGGGGGGCGGGGGGGGGGGGAGGAGGAGCAGGCTTTTGGGGCAGACATGTTTTATTCTTGATGGGCTCCACTTCCTACAAGTAGGTTTGGGGGCTTTGCCTTATGAAAGGGTTCCTGGTCCCAATTCCAACAAGTGTACACATGGGGTTTCCCCTACACCAACAGATAGTTCTCAGACACCAGCAGCATTTCTGAGAATTCAACTCAGTTGACACTGTCCACCCAGAGGTAGCATCGTGTACCACATATTAAGGGTTCAGTCTGCAAGACTGTCTCTCCCCTCAGCTGTCACCTGTGCTTCTGACTGACTGGCCACACATCAGAGAGTCTCATGACCTCTGCCAAGAGTTTAGTTAATTTGCTAGAGCGGCACACAGGACTCAGAGAAGCATGTTACTTACTAGATCACTGGTTTATTATAAAAGCCTATAACTCAGGAACAGCCAGATGGAAGAGACGCATAGGGCGAGCTCTGTGGGAAGGGGCGTTGAGCTTCCAGGCTCGGAGCAGGTCACTCTCCCTGCACCTCCATGTGGTCACCAACCCAGAAGCTCTCCAGACCTATCCATTTGGGGTTTATGGAGGCTTCATGGCATAGGCGGGATGGATTAAATCATTGGCCACTGGTGACTGATTCAACCTCCAGCTCCTCTATTCTCCCTTTAGGTCAGGAAGTAGGACCGAAATTTTCCAACCCTATAATCACATGATTGGCTCTTCAGGTAAGCAGATCCCTCTCATCACTTAGGAAATTCTAGGTGTTTTAGGAGCTCTGTGCCAGAAACTGGTCCAAAACCAAATATGTATTTCTTATTATAAATCACAGTATTTCACCTTATGAAAAGAAATCCCTCCCCCCCCCCCAGAAGGCTAACAGAATAAGCTGTGCCGTTCCCCTAAAAGAACCATTCTAGGGTTTGTGCATCCGACAGGGAGAGGTGCGTTTGTGACCAAACCTGTCTTCTCCTTCAGTTCTGCTTTTCCCCGCCTCTGTGATGAGGCGGGGCTCTCTCTCTGGAGAGGGCAGACACCCCCAGGCTACTCCGCATCCCCAGTCCAGTCTCCCTATAACACCAGATGTCCTGCAGGTCCCAGCCTCACCCCAGCTCATCTGGGCTTGTTCTCGCAGCCCAGCAGGGCTGCTTTGGGTCTCGTAGCCCCCTCTCCCTCTCCCTCCCCCTGCTTCTTGGCTATACCGCTGTGCAGAGAAAGGTAAAGTCTGTGAGCACCTGGTATATGCTGGGGACGAGAAGGAGGCACTTGGATTTAAACCTCATGGCCACCCCATAAAGTATGACCGCTTTACTGAGGGGGAATCCGAAGCTCAGAGGAGAGCAAATGGCAGAGAAGAAGAGTGTCAGACCTGCACGCCCGACCGGGGTCCCCCCGTTGTGCAGAGCTCTGTGAGGGTGCTGGGTGGGCAGACCAGGGGCCCGGAGCAGGCTCTCCCTTGTGCCCTGCGGCAGAAGATAGGCCGATGGGCGCCTGCCCTTCAGGGGCCCCTCGACAAATAGCTGGCATGTCAAAAATCAGCGATTGTGTCTGGCCTTAGTGGAACACAGTGCGGGACCGTAGAGGGAGCCCTGCGCTGGGAGTCGGGCCGCTGTGTGGCAGGTGAGAGGGCTTCGGTGTCCTCACCTGTCAAGTGAACATCGGGCAAAGCGCTCTCCAGGGTCCTCACCAGTTTAGAGGCCCTGCAAGTGCTAGGACAGATGTCGGCATTTATCTAGCACTTCCTTTGTGTGAAGCACATGTAGCAGGGTGGTCTTCAGCCCTGGCTGATCCTCAGGACCACCTAGGGACTGGAGCCAAGCTCGCATTCCGGGCCCCGCCCCACATTCTTCCTGCGTTCCGGGAGTCTGCTGCGCAGCCGGGGTTAGGAACCACGGCTGTCGGCTGTGAGGATGGAGAACACAGCAGCGTCCTCAGTCGGTGAGGACAATGGGAAAATGAAAGAGCAAGTCAGTATTTATATGAAAACACTTAGCTGACTTAGAAATACTTGTCTGTTGTTTATAAACTATAAAAACAGAACAAAACACGTAGCTAACACCAGCTATGTGCTAAACACACTTCTAAGGGCTTTGCAAATACTAACCCATCAACCTCTATAACGACTCCATGAGACAGCTGTGATTTTTACCCTCCGCAAGGCACAGAGAGGTTTAGGACCACCCAGGGGCACGCAGCTAACTGGTAAAGACAGGAGTCAAATGCAGGCGGGCTGACTAGGGACTCTCACTGGAACTCTTTGCTGTGCAGCAGCCAAATCTGAACCAGAGTAGGGCAGCGCCAGTCCAGCTGCTAGAAGAACGAGCTGCAGTCACGAAGCCAGGTGGTCATGTTGGCTGGGGGATCATATGAGGTTTGCTCAGAGAGCTTAAAAGTGGAATTGGAGATTTACACTGGGCGTGAATGAAGTGTGTGAATGAGACAGGCCAGGTGTAATTTTTGACTGTTCCCTGAGTTTAGAAGGCGTAGGGCCTGCCTGTCTTCTGTAGATAATCTCCATGGCAGCTCTTCCGCTGGACCCTGAGGGTAGAGGGATGCACAAGCCCCACAGCGTCCAGCCCGCAGGAGCTCACAGTTCAGATGAAGAGGGGACGTACGTGAAGCAGAAACACGTGGAAATACACTTTTCTTTCTATGCAGGACTTCCTCTCTCTTCTTCCTTGTTGTAGCCCAGTTGGCTTCATTCCATAGATTCAGGCCAAGGCTTCTCTAAAATGAGGACAGAAGGTTGTGTCACCCTCCACTTAATAATGTGCTCCAACCTTCCCTGGTGAATGAGCACACATAAGTGCAGGCAGCACTTTTGCTCATAGGAAAAACTTGTATGAAAGACCTTAATTCTTATGCTTAATGTAAAACACGGACTGTGTGCGTTGGTAATGACATGCAGTCGGTAACCACACTGATCAGCGTGAACCTGGTAGCGGCCGCAGCATCAGTGGCCACCAGGTTTTGCTTGTTTGGAGGCCGGGCGTGTGTTAGCAAGACGAGTGTAACACTGCGTTTGCAACTGGGAGCCATCTGGGGCAAAATGGGGCAATCACTTCCTCCTTCAGTGCAGGCGCAGCTGGTTGGGGTGCCCATTAGAGGAGGTGCACTGCGAGCCAAGGCCTCTGAGAGGTGGCACCACAGCCAGGGCCACGTGTGACCTCGCGTGCGTGGCCCATGTAAGCACAGCCATGACAAGGCCGTGTTTGCAGTTAGGGTGGACACACTGTGTCAGTGAGCCAGGAGAGCGGCCACACGTCCTCATCTTCACTTTGTAAACACTTGGTCAGTGTCCTTTAGTTGGGATAATGCTTAAGTAAGACGTGACGCTTGCTTTTTCTTCCCTCCTCACTCTGCCTCCCTTAGCTGCTGGAATGTGGCGGAAATTTGTTCGATGCCATCTCCATTGCTGTGAAGGCCGCTCTCTTCAATACAAGGTAAGTCTTCCTGGAAACGGTCCTGGGGGCGCACAAACAACCTGAGTAGACCTTGTGATGGAACACGGAGGAAATTTCTATAGAAGCTCATAGGTGAAGATAACAAGGGATTCGAGCATTGAAAATGGGGGTATTTAATGTTAAGCTCCAGAAAACAGATTTCATAAGTTAGAACTAAATATATGTATATATTTTTGTATTTATTTTTTGTATCGTTATTTTCATAAGTAAATATGTACCATGTAGAAAAATACTAGAAAACTACAGAGTAGCAAAAAGAGTAAAAACCAACCACTGCAGAAACCAACAACTGTCCAGATACTGTTCCTGGCTGAAGCTCCCGGGGGTCGGGGTTGTGCCTGTTGTGTCCGCTGTATCCCGGCCCCATGAGCGGTGCCTGGCACACGGCAGGTGCTCACAGAGCCCCCGGCCGGATGCACGCGTGTTCTGTGAGCAGGGTCGCAACCTGCTCTTTGATTTACGAGCCAGAAATGCTTATGCCTCTGTGGTTCAGCTTCCCAGACAGGCCGCGTAGCAGGGACGTGGCTCTAAGTGCTTTTTGAGTTGACGTTTCCTCTGACCGATTCTACAGCAACACCCCTTCCCCGGCCCTCCGCCTCGTGCACCGGGTTCTTTGAGGAAAGTTTGCAGTATTTGAAAGTAAACGTGTAGGTGGGGTGTTCATTCCACGAGAGCTTGCATCGGGGTGCTGGGGGGCCTGGCGTATTAGGGAGTGAGGAGTGGACAGGTCTAGGGAAGCAGCCGAAGGAGCTAACTGGGTGAGTGAGCAGAGAAACCCAAGAAATGCCCCTCACAGCGCTGTGAGAAGTTGGTGACAACCCCATGTCCACACGTGGGGGTGAAACCTACACGGCGACGTCTTGTATAGAAGGTTGTTACTGTGGAAACCAGCCACCAAGTGCAGGCCCCTGGTTTTTGTTTTGTTGTATTTTACTTTTGGGTCTGGATATATCACAAAATGGTCATTGTGATTATTTTCCATATTATGAGCAATTTAACATTTATTTGTATTTTAGAGTTTTTCTGTGGTGAATTTAGACTACTTCCATAATTTGAATCAAAACAAAAGCAAAGTTAAATAAATTTAGGTCAGAAAGTACAAGATCGAATAGTTGCTGATAATGAAAGCTGTAGAGTCCCCACCCCTTGCTGTGCCACTAGACTCTTGGCTGAGATAGTCGAGGGGTGGGCCTGGCACTTGTGGCCGGCCACCAACCGCCAGCAGCAGCAGCCTGGGCTTGGGCTCTACTGGAGAAGAAAGGAAGTTGCCATCTGTTACCTCAAGCCTCAGAACGTACTCCTTGTCTGCCAGCTGGTTTCCATGGGCACCAGGGCAAAAAGAGAGTGGAACCAGATGAGGCCGTTTGGCTGTGGGAGACGTGTTGGGCAAACTGTACAACAGGATGACAAAACCCAGCTGCTCAGGTTGCGGGGGACACTGCCATGGGCATAGCCGTAGCTCATCCCCAGAATAAGAACAGCCCTGCAAGCAGCGAGGTCGGGGGACTCTACGAGGCATTGGGTCCCCTCGGTATATGGAGAGACCTTTTGTACAGTCAGAGCCCTTTAGAAGGGGAGAGGGCATTCTCTGGACAGTGTTCTCTAGCCCTTCTACCAAACCACGTTGTGGCCAAAGGGGCGTGTGTGTGTGTGTGTGTGTGTGTGTGTGTGCGCGCGCGCGCGTGTGCGTGTACGTGTGTGTGTGTGTGCGTGCATGCATGTGTGCATGTACATTTATTTTTTAAGATTCCTAAATTCAAACTGGTTACCTGATTGGTTCAAATCGGATATTACTTAGTGCCTGTACCCTGGTGGCCCCTGGCTTGGAGACTTCAGCTGGGGCGGCAGACCCTCGCAGTTCTCCTTGGTCCTCGTGGGCATTCTCTGTCTCAAACTCGTCTGTCTGAGTGTGGGCTCATGTAGGGATGGCCGCAGGGCTGTATCGCGGGGGGCTTTCGTTAGCAGAACAGGGAGAAGCACCAACAGTATTTCTGTTACAGACGGCCTCTTCCTTCCTGGCTCCTCACCCCCAGACCAGGGTTGGACTGACTTTATTTTCCAGCACCCAGCTCAAGAAACGGAGCATTGCCAGCCCCCCAAAAGCCCTCCCACCCTGTACCCCATGCAGTCACCGTATCCACTGAGGATAACCACTGTCCTAAAACAGTAGAGTGGTTTTGTACTCGTTATAAATGGAATCACACAGTGTTTCTCTTGTGTCTTCCCCATTCACTGAACAGGAGGTTGGAGACGTCTGTATTGTGGTTTATAGTCACAGTTTGCTTTTTGTTGTATGCTGTTCCATTGTGTGAATGTGCCACAGTTTATTTATCCCGTCTACTGTCGACAGGTATCTGGGTAGTTTCCGGTAGGAACTATTGCAAATGGTGCTGGACATCAGCATTTTGGTACGTGTCTTTTGGTGTATACCCATTTCTGCTGGATGGGGTGACACTTCTGGGTATGGCTGTGTTTAGTCTTAGTAGATACTGCAACAGTTTTCCAAAGTGCTTTTATCAGACGATACTCCCAGCAGCAGGGTGTAAGAGTTCTGGGTAGTTCCACATCTTTGCCAACCCTTGTTTTTTTAATATTAGCCATTCTGGTGAGTATGTCACATTATAGATTTAATTTGCATTTCATTGCTGAATATTTAAGCTGATTACCTTTCTGTGTGTTTATTGGCTACACGAATAGCCTCTTTTATAAAGTCCTTGTTCTCATTTTTCTGTTGGACCATCTGTCTTTTACTTATGTTTAGTAGGAATCCTTTATGTAATATGTCAGTTTATACACACGCGCGCACACGCACACACATTTCCTCCACTCTGGATCATCTTTTAGTTTCTAAATGTCTTTTGGTGAACAAAGTTTATCATCTTAATATAATGTGTGTGTGTGTCTCAATTACAATATAATTGAATCTATAATTTTTTCCCTCTATGAAACTTTGTGTCCTGTTCATGAAATCTTTGTCTACTCTATGCTCATGAAGATGTTCTTAATTTTTCTTCTGAAAGCTTTATTGTTTTATCTTTCACCTTTACATCTGCAGTCCATTTGGCTTGGAGTTTTGTTCGTGGTGTGAGGTAGGGATCAGGATTCATTGTGCGTATCAGATTGGCCAAACGTCATTTTTTAAAAGAACTCCTTTCCTCACTGTACTGCGATGTCACCTCTGTGCTTTTGACAGGAACGAGAGGGATTCCGCAGGGATTCCCACTGCTGTTCTTAGTCACAAGAAAAAGAAATTATCTTTCAGTAAGTGGGAATTTTAATTGTGCTTCTGTTGCCAGGATACCAAGAGTTCGTGTTTTGGAAGATGAAGAGGGGTCGAAGGACATTGAGCTGTCTGATGACCCTTATGACTGCATCCGGCTAAGTGTGGAGAATGTCCCCTGCATCGTCACCCTGTGCAAGGTGTGAGCTTGCATCTGATGGTTTTTGTCTTCCCTGTTGGTCTCTTTCAACCCCAACCTGTTGAGGTTACTTGATAGGTTGAAAAGTTATAGTCCCACAAACTATATAGAAAAAAGTAGCTTTAACCCAAATCCAATAGTTTGATTTTATTAGCAATCACTACTGTGGGCAACTCTTTCTTTTCTTCTTGATTGAAGGAAATGATGGAGTCCCGGGAGCACACGGATGGGTTCATAATAACAGTAGCCAGTTTGTTAAACTCCTCCTATGTCCTGGGCATCTCACCGAAACGCCGTGTAGGTGTGTTCCCTTTCATTCCTTCAGCCCCGTGGGGTCTCGGCTGGCTGTGCAGTAATAGAGTGGCTAAACGGCAAACACTGTCTGCTCTCTGGGCCCCAGCGTCCACATCTTTGAAGCGAGGGGTTTGGAGCAGCTCCTGGGTGTCTCATAGGTCACGCATGGTTTTCACATGAGCACAGAGGCCCGTGGACCCTAACGTCTGGCTCATGGTGATGGGTACCCAGCACTGCCTCAGGCCTGTCTGGGCCGAGATCATCTCTGATCCACGTAGGATTCATTATATAAAAATAAGACTGAATGGGTCGGGTTTATTTCCATGAAAATCACTTCATAAACCTAGGCATTGAGACTGACTAAAGCCACCTGCTTGACTCATTCCTGAGCATGTCCCTTAGCATGGACCCTCTTGATTTCATCTTTGTCATCAGCGAAACATCCCTGTGGCCTCACATGTGAATTTCTCCCTGTGCCCCTCTGTCGAGAGCCTTTGGTGGCCTCTGACTGGGACGCTCTCTGAATTATAGTTCTAACTCCCTCACCCGCTATTCCATTTCATGCTCTGTTACACAGCTCACGGTGGCCTGCAAGAGAATGGTTGAACGTCGCTTCAGATATTTTCCACATGAGCAGCATCTAAAATTTGATCCTAAGTGGGCAGCGCAGGTTCTTGGCCGGCGTGGATGTTCCTTCCGGGAAGCTGTCAAGGATGGGGACCTGGGGTGTGTGTTACTCACGTGTGTGCTCTGCTGCTCTGCCTTGCAGATTGGCTACCGACATGTGGTGGACGCTACTCTTCAGGAGGAGGCTTGCTCCTTGGCCAGCCTGCTGGTGTCCGTGACCAGCAAGGGTGTGGTGACGTGCACGAGGAAAGTGGGGAAGGGCAGCCTCGACCCAGAGAGCGTCTTCGAGATGATGGAGGTGAGGCTCTGGTTCTGAGGCAGGTGCTGGGTCCTGGCCGGGAGTGCCTGCTGCTGCTTGCCCCGTTGGTCACACTATCAGCATTCTTGCCCTCTACGCCCTTGACCCCAGACTTGGAGCATGGAGAACATCTGGTGTCAGCTGGGTGGCTGCCGACTTAGCCAGGGATGGCGGTGGGGGTCTCTGACTGGGAGGTGGGGGGCCTGCCAGTAACCGTTGCTTATCTCCTCCATCTCTGATCCCAAGTTTCCACATTTCAAAATGAGAGTGTTGGCCTGATAACGGAGAGTCGCTTATTACTCCAAAATCCCAAGATTTTGTGATTTGATTAGGGAATTGAGTTTCTGGCTGACTGCTTCCTGTCTCTGGAAGGGAATGAGCAAAGGTGGAGCCAGGGGACTGAAAGAAGATGGGTCCCCCTTCTCCGTGGGTCTAGAAGTGTTTACGTGGAGTTAGTGGGCATGGTGGGGCACCCTCCTAACGGCCTGTGGCTCTGCACTGATGCGGTAATGTATTTGTCTCCCTTGTTGGCCCGGAAGCCCCTCTGAGGCAGGGACCAGGACCTGCTCACCTACACTGTCTTCCTAGACCTTCCTTCCCCTGCAGCCACTTTGACTTTCCAGGAGTCTTTGAGGACTTTGAGACTGACCGTCTGACCAACTGACTGAATTGCTAGGAGCAGTTAGCTAGACACAGGTGTTTCTGTTTCAGGTAACCACTGTACCACAGCACCTGCCCAGAAGTCACAGTAAGCAAGGTTGCCATCTAAACTCTTCCTTCATCCCTAGAAACAATGAGTTTTCACTGTGGACGCTCAGCACTTGGTGTCTCTTTTCTCTTTTGATCATCTTATTTGAAAGCAAACAATGCGCAGTGTACGTAGTGTCGAGGACCCAGGCACGGGCCTGGGAGACGTACTGCCCAGTGCATCCTGGCTCTGGACCACCGCTCCCCTGTCGGCAAAGTGGGATCTTAGCAGTGGTCGCACCTGCCGCTGGGGCTGTCGTGAGGCGCTCGTGAGGGCACGGCGGTGAAGCACGGGTCAGAGTCAGCTGCACCACGAGGTCTCGGTCCGTGTCAGCTCACTCTGCGCTCCGGTGAGCACCCTGAGCTCAGCATCGCCAGCCGTGCGTGGCAACAGTTGCTTTCTTGCAGTTTACCAATCTTGGCAAATTGGTGTATCTTTTTAAACGAAAGCGCTGAAAATGCTTTATAAGTTCTACCAAAGGGCTCTCTAGACAAGTGGCTCTCAGATGTTGTTTAGGAAGGAACCACCCGTCACCCAGGAGAACACGGTGAGAATGCCAGCACCTAAACAACAGCCCAAACAAGAAACGTCTTGGCTGGCCTTTACTGTGTGCTTGCCGTGTCGGGCCCTGTGCCTCGCGCTTTAGATGTGCACTATTTCATCCTCTGCACTCCTGCGAGACAGCTGTTGTTATCCTTATTTACAGACGAGGAAATTGAGGCAGGTAGGGGGTACGTAACCCGCCCACGGGTCCCCCAGCTCACGAACGCTGGTGCGAAGATTCAGGCCCTGCCATGTGCCTCCGGGGGCCCCATTCCCAGCCGCCGCCCTGTTCGGACCTTATGAACCAGGTCGGCCCTGGCCGCGTGGACAGGCAGCGGGACCAGCACTCAGTTCAGGGAGCTGCGCTCCATGCTCCCTGGGCTCGGGGAATGCGGTCTGCAGACGTGCTCAGGGGGACCGTAGCCCTGGGGCTTTGGCTCACCGTTACCTCGCACAAGGACGCAGCCACCCAGCCCTGCCCCTCACGGTGAAGCCTGAACCTCGGGTTGCGCCGGCTGCCACCCCCGCCCTCTGCTGTCTCTTTCCTGCAGGTTCAGACTCTCAGGTCCTGCTGTCTGTCTGTCTCCTCTCTCTCCGCCTTCATTTATTTGAATAATCAGTAACCCCTATTTGACCAACTTTGGTATTTTTTCTTCCTCTGACGTGATAAAAATATTTCCAAAGTCACCTTGGACCTTGACCTTGGTGCTGTATTTCATAGGGTTGGTCATTCCCAGCCTTTAGGCCAAGATGATCTTTACATACAAGTTTTTGGTAACACTCCCTTGTCACAGAGCCCACAGCTCTGGGGAGAGTACGCCTGTAACTGGGAGGACTGGGGTGGGGTCTGGGCCTGCGTATCTTTCTCCCCGACATTGCTGAGAATGGAACCAGTGGCAGTTAAATTCAAACCGCTATGGAAACAGGGAAGACTTGATGAGGTGGAGACTTGAAGTCGGTTCATTGTATTCTTAAAATGATTCACGAGCCTGGTGACAGCCAGCATAAATTTCATGAAGAAAGATTTTTATATATTAGGGGTTTTTTGAGGCGCCCCCTTCTGTCTGCTGTGTGAGGGCCAGTTAGGAATCTGGTTGTGTGACCGTGACGTGTCTTGAATCCAGCATGTCCTGCCTTTAGCATCTCTGCATGGCGGTAACACCGAAGACCCCATCGGGTGTTGACTTCGGTCCCATCCGAGAGTTCTCCTTAGAGATCTTCTGGCAAGTGGATTAGAAACTGCTTTTTAAGACGGGTCCTCAGCACCCTGTTTCTTCATCAGACTCGGGTGCGTGTGGTCTCCCTGTGCCTTCCCGCTGCAGTACAGCGGCGCTCGGCCGCAGCCAGGCGCAGATTTCGCTGACAGTATTGCCGCTGTCGTAAGGGCAGCAGGTATGCGAAGCCCGGGCGGTGCTCGGCGGTCTCTGCGGCTTGCTGCCTGGGGTCACCATCTTTTTCCTTTCCTTTCCTTTCTTTTTTTCAGTATATAGGTTTCTCCATGACGTGTCGCGTTGGGCTGTGGGTTTTCCGTGTTTGGTTGCGTGTAGAGCGGACGGCGCGCGTGCAGTATGGGAAGGGCGAGCTGGCAGCAGGGAGGCCTTTCCCGGTCAGGGCCGCGAGCCTCACAGCCTGTGCTCTCTCCCCTTCTCCATCCTGCAGACTGGCAAGCGAGTGGGCAAGGTGCTGCACGCCTCCCTGCAGAGCGTCCTGCACAAGGAAGAGAGCCTGGGGCCCAAGAGACAGAGAGTCGGATTCCTGGGGTGACGAGCACAGCAACCCCAGCGCAGGGGGCTGGCTTTCACCTTCCCCTTTAAGCCAAAGTTTGTATTTATTTTTTTTAACTATTGTGTACGTGTGAAATTAAAGTCTGTTTTCTGGTCTGGTTCGGTGTGGCTGGAGTTGTTCAGCTGTAAGCCAGGTCGCCATTGGGTGGCCCCCCCAGAGAGGCCAGCCGCGGCTCCTCAGGTGCAGAGACCCGCCCCTGGGGGAGGGCTCTGGTCACAGGCCTCCCGATGTCGCCTCCCCAGGGTACTCGTCCGTCCCCTGCTGTGGGAGTTCAGAACGGCAGCAAACACACGAGAATAAGGACTTCCCAGAAAAATAGTTACAGGAAATGCTTATGATTTGTGTTTTGTGAATTTTTTTCCCCCTGTAGAGTTTTCAATATAAGAATGACCAAAAAAAAAAAGAAAAGAAAGAAAGAAAAGATTCCTTCCTCTCGGGTACTTGGGTGCTTCAGGGGGAGGGAAAGGCGAGGCACTCCACCCCAGATCCACCCACGCCCAGGGCTCCTGCCTGGCTGTGAGCCTGCCATGTCCGGGGAAGCCCGGGTCTTCCTTCCTGCCCGCCAGGCCAGAAGACCCAGGCCGAGCTCCCTGGGGTCAGCGGCTTAGCGGCCAGTTTGGTCCTCAGCCAACCTTTCTTATCATTCTTGTTTTGAAATTGTTTTGTGTTTCATAACCACTCCCTGGTGTTTTGTAAGGTTTTCTTGTTCTGTCAGCATTAAGAAGGCCGCTTTGGAGATGTTGTCATTCGATTACCCAGCCTGCCTTCGTGCTCTGGGGACAGAGGGAAGGCCATTCTCGATGGCCTCAGAAGGCTCTTCCTACAAGCCTGCATTCTACTCAGAGTGCCCTGTGTTAGAATTACGTCCATTCTCGTGGGTTGAGCAGTCTGTTTTTCCCTGGGGATCTGATGCTCCCCAATCTGAAAGATCCCTGGGGAAGGACCTGCTTCATGAGGAGGGGATCTCAGCCGGGGCATTTGCTCTCTGCATTCCAGTTAGACAGAGAGGGCAAGGAGTTAGGAATTTATTGCCTAAAGGGAATATATATATATATATATAATGTGAGCCAAAGCCCCTGCAGCCTGGCTCCAGAGGTCCTGGCCTGGGTACCTCTTCCAGCATGGCCAGGTTCGTCCCTGTGGAGAGAAGCAGATGCCCAGAGTTGGACTTGAGGCTGCTGCCCTGTTGAGAACACAGCCTGGGTTTTCATTATTTTTTTAATGGTTTTTCAGTGATTGTCCCTACAGACACCATGACCAGGCTCCCAACGATGCAGAACCCTGTTCCCCTTCCCCCGCTCCTCCTGGCTGACTGCCTGTGGCGGAACACTGAGGTGGTCAAGGTGCAGCTAGAGTTCAAATAAAATTTAGAAGCCTTCAGTCTTGGTGAGTAAGGACATCAGACAGATGAGACAGACAGGTGAGGCTTTGCCAGGCCAGCGGTTCACAGCTTCCCGAGTAGGCTGCGGGCTAAGCAGTTCGGTGAGAAAGGAAGGAGAGAAATAGATCAGCGTCTGTCTCCAGCCCCCATACCGTCCGTGGAGGCCACCCCTCCCTGTGAGAAGTGCGCACGAGTGAAACAAAGCGCCAGATGAGCAAGGTCTCTCTAGCAGAGGTGTCTATTGGAAACGTCTGATGCTTGCAGCACTTAGAATAGGGAAGAAAACTGAAGGCAAAAACTTGGAAAGATACTGTCCTGGAGAATCCGCACGTCGCCTGACAGGACCAGAGCTGTCTTTAGTGGCCGTTAAATAAACATCAGGGAGAACATTGAAGTTGGCCAAAAGGCGATTAAGAGCTTGGGGGTGGGGAGGGGAAGCGTGGGCGAGGAAAGCATGCAATGTTACGGAATATCCAAATTAGTTTTATTGTATTTGGGATTCTTCGGTTTCCCAAATCATGTAACTTCAAGCTCCTAAAATACATGAATTTAGAATATTCACTAGTTTGCATCTTGCTCACTAAGGCAATGGTCTCACATTTAAACTTTCAGTGGAACATAAATCTGTGTTATTACAGACTTAGGAAATATTCTGGCAGTGCATATTAAAAGCCTTAAAAATGTCCATTCTCTTTGACCTAATTATTTCCACTTCTGAGAATGTAACCAAAATAAATAATTCAAGACAGAAGAGAAGTAAAAACACAAAGTATAAAGTTCATCCCAGTATTATTTCAACCCCCAAAGAATGGCCCCAGGATGAGTGCCATTCAGTGGGGAACATTTCAGTCAGGCCTCATGAGCTGGATACCCCCAGTGGCCGCCTCCACCCTCAGCCTCGAGCCAGCCGCAGCTGCGAGACAGGCTTCCGTCCACTTCCATGAGCAGCGGCTTCTAGCACTTCCCGTACACCTCTCACTTTCTGCTCTTACGGTTCTCCGAAACCAGGTCACGCTGGCAGGAGCCCACTTGGCATTGAAGTACACGCAGCCCAGAGTGCTGGGGACCTAACGCCTCCTGAGTCAGCCCGCAACCACCAGGGGCAGGAGCCAGTGGAGAAATGCTTCTCTGTTTGATCCGTAGGCAGACAGTTCTGAGAAGTGTTCAAGACACTTGTCAAAACGTGCTAGGGGGCCACACTTCAGTGCTCATGACTGTGGTCAACTCTTTTCCTTCCCTGTCTTACTCTCCCCAGTCTTCCCCCCCCCAACACACACACACTCCCTATGGGACCACCCCCCAAATAAACTACAGACACGAGTCCTTGTCTCGGGCTTCGCTTCTGGGGAGAAACCCAGACTAATCAGTTGGTATTAGAAGTGGCCTTAGAAAGCAGCCCCTTGAAATGGGATTTGGGAACTCGGACAGTCATTGGCAGATGGCAACAGAGGCCCCGCGGTGATGGTGAGTGGGTTGGTGATAAGCCAGGACGTCCTATAGCATCATCATTACCAGGACCGCCTGTGCTGGGTCGAGATCAGGTACGGGAAGAGGGAGAGCGAAGCCATGGGTTATGGGAATGCTCTACCATACGGGAGCACGGAGTCAGTGGTAATTACAAGGATTGTTGGGTTGGCTGACTTATTAACTGCTATGAAAAGCCTTTCAAAACAAGACGGCAGGCTCATCAGCCAACTCTCAACTTGTGGTATACTATAAAAACCACAAGGCTTTCACGGGAGGGTTTAAAGAGACATGTGCAGCTGCAGCGTGGAAAGTGCTGGCATTCAGAGATTTGCTTGTGTGAGTGGCACAGCTGCAAAGCAGACTGAAGGTGCATCCTTGGCAGGTTTCCTTTGCCAAAGTCAGGGCTGTCATCAGGAAAGAAAGGGGACTCGGACCTGGGATACAGATGGGGTCTTGGTCCCTCATATTCCCCTGAAAGCTTTGGGCAGGCAGAAGAAGACCCATCCCCGAATTAAAGCAGGACAACCATTTCCTGAAGCACCGCTCAACATGCAAAGACCAGACCTGAGCCAGGTACCTCAAGAAATGATAACCAGTCAACCTCTGTTCCACGTTTGCTCATCTCCAGACCAAGGACCAGGGTCCAAGTATAACCCAGCTCGAGCAGGGAAATCCAGTCCCTGCGTGAGAAGAACTGGATTACTCATCAAAATAATCGCAAGCCCTGGTGTGGCATGTACCAGGGGGACAGAGGTGGGAGTGGATCTTGAGGGCGCTGGACCCGGGCCACGGCTGGGGAGGGGTTCAATGTCCCGGGGAGGAGGTCCGAAGTCATTCCTAGTTCACTGCTGTGATAACGCCCTGCAGTCGGCCTGGCAATCACCCGCAGTCATTGAAGGGGAGATGCCAACCCTGAACAAGCTGAGAAAGCAACAACTCTCCTTAGACCTGTAAGAGGTGAGGTCATAGGGTGAACCACTGCTCCCCAAATGGAAGAGACCAACAGGCAAATTCAGAGAATCGCAACTTAATGGAGCAGAAACCCACTGAAACCTCCGTGGAACCAGAACCGGGGGAGTCAGGAGCCTGAACTGTAACTGACGAATGCTGGAGGCACCGTGTGGACAGCTCCGGGAGTTAAAACTCCAAAGGTCCCACACTTCTGTGCGTTTTACTTCCAGGGGCTCAACCTGGTTCTCACAGTGAATTTCAGAGAAAAATCTTGTGTTTCTGGCAGGAGGAGGGGAAAAGGAACCATTTTGAAATTCTCCAGAGCACCCTCTTCTTTTTAACAAGGCCTGCCCTCCAGAGGACCTGCAGCCAGAGCCGAGCCTGCTGGGGTTTCATCAGAACCTAACTGACCTGGAGAAAGGGACGTACCCCACTCCAGCCACCCTGTCCCACCTAAGGGGGGCAGTCAGACTGAGAAGCCCACGTGAATTTCACAGGCCAGAGGCACAGGCTCCGTAAGAGACCGAGACCTCATCACAAGGCCACAGAACACAGGGAGAGAGGCGATGCTTGTTGAATGAATGACATTATCACACCAACAAGGCTTGGAAGGGAACAAATGACCTTCCTAATGAGGGTCATGGAGACCAAGGCTGGAGAGACCGCCCGTGCAGTATTCTTGGAGATGCACGGCCTGGATGCTCTTACCTTTGAAGAGAGCGTGGAAAGTTCTCGGGCCACATTTCTGTTGACACCGGGCCAGTGGCGCTAAAAGGAAACATCTGTGCAGGGAAAACAGCGAGGGCGGAGGGGGGACAGGGGGACACAGCTCTGCGTTGGGCCAGAAGTGTTCACGCTGTTAGGGCTGACATGGGTGGGGCGGCCAGAGCTTGTTTTCTGTAACTCAGCCTTCCAACAGCTTTGGAGGAAGAACAGAACAAAACAAAACAAAAAACAAACACAAACTTGAAAACTGAAGTGTGCCTTTTAGATCTCTCTCCTGATTTTTCTGCCTCTGGGCTGTTACGCAGATAGATCGTTCTTCCTGTGGGGAAATTGGTATGGAAAGACTGGGCCCTGAGGGTAGTGTGTAAGTGCCTGGACGGTTCCTTGAGGATGGGTCGTTCAGGAATATTCTCCTGGCTGAAGCCCTCCCCCACCATTTGCTGCCCTGATGGCTGGTAGAGGCCTCTCGGACAGTGTCGGCAGGGGAGATAGTTCATGCTGGGAGCATGAAACCCATAGACCCCACCATGGCTGTCGGCGAGTCCTACAGCTGGCTGCAGCAGTGGTCCTCACCTGGCCAGGAGGAGCTGCACGTGGACAAGGGGAACTGGGTATTTAATGGCCATCAGCTCGACGCTGGTGACAGTGAGGCATGGTTGCTGCAAAGAGCCCATGAATTTGCAGTTTCCTAAATAGGGTCCAGTCTGACCACAGGAAACAGGCCCCGCCCACAGGCAGTCCCCTTGAGAAGATGCTTTGTTCTGGATGCTGCATCACGACGAGGACAGGAACAAGCAAAATTCCATCCAAAGGTGATTTTCCAAGAGGTTAAAAAAGTCCAGGAACCATATCAGGGAGGAACAGTTGGGAGAAAAAGGGGAAGGGAACATGGAGGAGAGACGGTCAGAGGTCACGATGGTCTGTTTCAAATGTTTTCTGGCCTCTTCCATGATGGCTGCAGAGGCTGGCGCTGGGGACTACCGGGTGACGTGTCATCAGCCTGCCTGATGACACGTCTTGCCACAGGGGGGCTTCATAACAAGCTGAGCGGCTACTGATGGAAGCAGCTGCTTTGCAGAGTAACGAGCTGCTCGTCCCAGGAGGAGTTTAAGCAAGCACACGGTGACCTCCGACAGCGTCAATGGGAAGCGACATCCCATATCGAGGGGTCCTTATACCAGACAGCCTCTCCAACTGGCTTTTAACTCAGAGGCCGAGATATAGTGGGCCACTTGCGTTTTTTTGACGCCCACTGAAGCAATTAAAAAAATGATGACATGCCAAAACAGGGTTACAAAAAATGGTGTTTTTCCAGTTTACATTTCCTGAAATAGCACTTTGAACACACGTGACTAGGACGCAGGGCAACATGCTGTTCGTAGGACAGGACTTCCTTTTACGGCATTCTGACGGTGCCACGGGCGCTGGCGGTGGGCACAAGCATCCAGCGTGTGATGAGCTTGTCTTCCCGCAGGGCGGTCGCTGCTCCTCTGGCCGTGTAGATTCTCCGTGGGAGACAGACCAAGCCTCAACCTGCGGGGACCCCAACCCAAAAGAAACCTCCCCGACCGTGATTTCACAGAAGTCATTTTACAGCACATGTGACTCCCGGTGCTCTGCGCGGTGCGCGCACACGTACACGCATGCACACACCTGTGAAACCTGCCGGGTGAAAAAGCCGAAGACCCGCTCACTGCTAATGGAAAGCTCCCCGAGGAGGCCTCCTTCCTGAGGTGCAGAGAG